CAAGTCACATTCACAACAAAGCATCTCTAGGTACAGTTCATAAACACTGAAATGCAAGGAAATATCAAGTTTTAACCAAAATAATCAATGAAAACAAATTAGATTTTCTACGTAGTGTTCATACCACTCTTATGATTTAAACCAATCAATTTTATAAAGTTCTTCTTCATGTATAACATCTTTTAAACAAAACACAGAAGCAAATATCTTCTAAATACAAGAAAAATAAGATCTACCTGCAAACTCTCATCTCAAAAGTACTTACCTAATTTAGAAATAAGGACACTGCAAAAACAAAGTAACTCTTTACATTCCCCAACTAGACTTGGTCTCCATACTGGAGCCAAAGCCAGAGCTAAAGCCACCGCTGGAGGCTGCGTTATTCGCACCCCACCCGAGACCAGCTGAGCTGGTGGCATTATAATTGCTGCCGGCCGCGCTATAGCCCTGACCCTGATCTCTGCTACCTGCTGCTTGGCCGGCTGCAGTGGTGCCAGAGGCAGCCGTCTGACCCTGCTGATTGGCCAGCATACCCATCATTCCCCAGCTGCTCTGGAGGGCTGCCTGGGCTGCTGCCATCATGGCTGGGTTTAAGCTAAGAGCCCCAAAATTCACATTGCTGCCATGACTGCGACTACCACCAAAGCCCTGCCCAAACCCCCCAAAACGAGCACGATCCAACATGTGCCTACTATTATTGTGCTTAGGCTCTGCGTTAGAGATGTGTACGCTGGTGCCCTTGATGATCAGATCCTCCCCACACAGAGACTGGGCAACCTGGAGAACAAAACGATTACCAAGTTACAAAACGTGTCAGACAAACCAACAGTGGATACAATTCTACTCGCACTCTAGAAAACCAACCTGGTCATCGGCAAAAGTGACAAAGGCGAATGCTCGGAAAGGCTTAGGAATGAAGACATCAGTGACTTCACCGTACTGCATAAAGAACTGCCTGAGATCATCGGCAGTCATGTCCTCAGTACATCGGCCCACAAACACTTTCCTACTCCGCATAGGCTCATCTAGCCCAGCCTGTTCCATGAAGTACTAGGCCAATGATTAAAATTGTCACTATAATGTCCACGAAAACATGATAAAGTATAATCATTCAACACTCAGGACAATGCAAGCATCTAGGTTAGGGGAGGGGGGGGGACAAGGGGGGGGAGAAAGCCTTCCACATCTAGGGTTACATTACACCAAACGGGTCATGTTTAATATAAATGTTTAATTAAAAGATTGCACAGAACAGAGGTTATACCTTTGAGTTGGGGAGCTTGCAGTCACACCATCTCCCATCAATCATATGCCGCTGGGACATCACTTTAATCTGTGTCTCATAGTCTGTAAACCGTACAAAGCCAAATCCTTTAGAATTTCCTGTTTTTGCATCTCTCTTAACCTGTCAAAAAAAGACACAACACTCAATACATACTCAAGTCCAGGAAAGCCATATTGTTAACATTATTTAGTGTTTTCTACGACATAACACACCCAAAATAACTCGGGAAAGGCGCATAATTCAGTTGATGAATTGACTGTGCATTTTAAATCAGAGAAAACATCCAAACCAGATGTGTGGGTCTACCCTGAAGCAAGACGTGTTTGCTCCTAAATTGTAGAAGAAATACCTAGCATTACTAACCTGTACCATTATCACCTCTCCAAATGTGGTGAAATACTCTTTCAGGTCTTGCTCAGATGTTTTCCATGGCAACCCAAGAACAATCAAGTCTGAAGTCTTCTGAATGCCCCTCTTAATTTTCACAGCAGAAGCAGCATCCATTTCATCCATCTTTCTTTTATTGTCTAAAAATGAATAAAGCTAGGTTAGATTGATGATACCAACGACAACAGTACGCTACACACACTTGGGCAGGTTAATGAATTCAAACACTGTTCATAGTGATCAGACTCAAACACCATATAGGTGTAAAATAGAAGTATTTCCTTCAGTATTCTACACTGTCCATGAATGGAAAGGACCACAATAGGACCACTGATCAGATGATATTTGAATGATGGCCCATTCTTGGCACAGAAGACATGGACACAGCGGTGGCGTGGAAATGTGTGTGGTGCCAAGTCTAATAAAAGTAGTCAGTAGGGTTGTAACGGTTTCATCCTTAGTCACAGCACATAACCGGACAGTTAAAAAAAAAATCCCTATTAAAATACATCTCCGTCTATTACGTCTATCCATAGTTTTTTTTTTTCTTCCTCTAAACCCAGTCATGTTCCTTACTCCAATAGCGCTCATCCCTTTTGTATCTGGTTGTGACTATACAAAAACGTACACTAGGTTTTGCAACCACCTTCATGGACATGTTACATTCCTACTTCTGCCACCGCTCCTAGAATGCCTCGAACGTTCAAAGACATACAACACGGCACTGTTGACCAGAACCGAACAGAACGAAGATCCTTCTTTTTTTTTGCGCCACACTGCCAGACTACTTGGATAGTTTATGTAAAAAAAGGAATAATTCTCACAAAGTCGACAACAGACAGAGACTTTTAAACAAAGATTTTGTAATCAACTTGCTTTCATTTCTCACCACCATCTTGTGTGTATTTATGGTCGAATAACACCACGAAACGGAGATATTTTTAGACTTGGTCAGCATCGGATAGAAATCTCCAACCGTGACACCCCTAGTGGTCAGTCATAAAAACAAAAGCCCAGTACTGCTGTTGCACCCGAGAAACACCCAATAGGATGCCATTTTCGTCACTGATGGCCCACCACCCAAGTCACATCTGATCGGCGGTGTCTTTCCAATGCTGGATGGGATAGAGGGGATAAGGTCAATTGTGCATTTAATACATTGGATACAGCCTGGTGTGTACATGTATACAAAATGCACCAACATGGTGGGTTTTATACCACAGGGTCCTCGAGTAGCCCTTGTTCTGCACATTTTAGTGTTTCATATTGCTCTAAAACACCCGATCAGTTAATTAACGAGTAGAGCTGGACGTGTGAGAGGAGAGGGAGAACTGAAAGGTGCAGGACAAAGGGAACCACCTCCAGGACCATGTCTGGGAACCTGTTGTGTAGAGAATGAACAGAACAATGAGTGCACGCGCGCCCTACACGTGCGCAAACGTTTGATTTCCCTTGTGCGCGGTACAGGTTACCTTTCGGGTAGTTGACCACGTACACCAGGTTGCCCCAGTCGGCCTCCGGTGCATGCAGCACTCCCTCCACTAAGCGCACTCCCCGCATGCACTGAGACACCGGGTTCCGGTAGCGCAGGCCGCACGCGCCGGGGAACTGCGCCGCCACGCTGGACAGCAGCACCGTCCCGTCCTCCTCGGAGGGGATCTCCATTGGCTCCTCGTTTTCATCCTCGGCCACGCGGATATAACACGTTTCCATGGTTTTAATGCGGAATCGCGGTGCTTGCTAGCTAGTCCTGGACTTCAGGGTAGGTGGGCGCGTTGTGCTAGCTAGCTAATGCGTTAGCCACCACGGTAAAAAATTTCCTTAGCTAGCTTAGCTAGCGGGACGTTGTCAACACAGCGCCTACTGGAACGCAAATGTAAACAATGCACGGTGTAGTGCGCGTGATCTACAGAGAGTGTTCTCACTGACAACACTGCAGAGATCCGATTAACGCGTAGACTCCCGCACGGCGTCGCTGCTAACTATCGTCCATGAAGGATGAAAGAGGGCCTCGCGCTCGCGCAATGAATGGTAGAAAGGGTTTTTTTTTTCCCTCGCGCGCGCACTCAGTTTTCTCGTCGAACCCGTCTTATTTTCAGGGTTCTCGCGACCACAAACTGGAGTCCGTTAAATGACGAATCTGCACTGTAGATTTAGATTTCCCGAAGCAAATGTATTTATTTATTTATTTAACACGAAACTCAAACAAATACCCCCGGTGCTATTTTTCTAACCTCAAACTTCTATCAAAATGGCCGCTCGTGCGGACTCGTCGAAGAAAGTGCGTCATCATCTAGAAGATACCATCCCAGCGTAGACAGGAGGGGTAGACGTTAATACTTTTACACGTCATTTCGCATCAGACGTAGGTTATTTCGGTCTTTAAAGCGATCATGTTGAATATGTAGTTGGTTGTTTTGTTAAATAATTCTGTATTAAGTGTTGTGTTTTAAAACGACTTTTGAACTTTGAACGAGTTATTTAACACTCACCCATTGTTGTACGGCGAGCACAAAATTCTGAAGTCCTATCACATTTAAGCGCGGATAAACCAACATGCAGACAAGGGATAAGGTTTGGTGTTGGGTAATGCGGTTGTTGGTGATGCGGCTGGGTACATGAGGACCAAACCAAAACAAAACAAAACAAAACAAAAACCCCACCTGTGTTGAAGCAGAAATAATACACACCTTTTTACATTTCTGAAAGTCCAAAAAGCAGATGTTTTGATTGTACACTTTACAAACAATACAAATGTAGCTAGAGCTGATAAGTAAGGAATAACAGTGCTGTTTATAGGAAAATAAACAATTACTAAAACGTTAAGTACAGAGAAACTGCAAAGCCATGAAGACTCTCCTGTGTTGGAAAACTTAAAGCAAGTGCTTTAGCCCTTACTTATACAAAGTACTGACACTGGAGACTCCTTCCATAGGTGTTGAATAAATATCTCCTCACAGAAAGCTTCACCATATCAACATCTATCCCATCCATTTTCTGTATCGCTTATCCTACACAGGTACCATGGAGCTTATCCCAGGGAACTCTGGGCACAAGGCAGGGGGACACCCTGGACGGTACCAACCCATCGCAGGGCACAATCATACATACATTCAAACACTTCAGACAATTTGCAAATGCCAGTCAGCCTACAATGCATGTCTTGGACTGGGGAGGAAACCAGAGTACCCAGAGGAAACCCTCGAAGTAAGGGTTGCAAGCTCTTCTACACAGGGCGGAGTTGGGATTCGAACCCACAAGCCCAGAGGTGTGAGACAAACCTTAACCACTAAACCGTTTATTATTAAGACATATTTAATATTAGAGGGCGCACGGTGGCTTAGTGGTTATAACATTCGCCTCACACCTCCAGGGTCGGGGGTTCGAATTCCCAATGTGGCCCTGTGTGTGCTGAGTTTGTATGTTCTCTCCCTCCGGGTACTCCGGTTTCCTCCCCCAGTCTGCGGGGGTTTCCTCCAGGTACTCCGGTTTCCTCCACCAGTCCAAAGACTTGCATGGTAGGCTGATTGGCATGTCCAAAGTGTCCGTAGTGTATGAACGGGTATGTGAGTGTGTATGTGATTGTGCCCTGCGATGGATTGGCACCCTGTCCAGGGTGTACCCTGCCTTGTGCCCGATGCTTCCTGGGATAGGCTCCAGGTTCCCCGTGACCCTGAAAAGGATAAGCGGTATAGAAGATGGATGAATGGATGGATATTTAATATTAGATTATTTGAAGTGTCCTCCATGCAAGTACTTGTGAGTGAGTTGTTATAATAAAGATACCTTATTAGAACAAGTGTATTAATACAAACCGGATGTATAGAAAATTAATGAGTACCTACTGAGGTACTCATTTACAATAGGTAGTTAAAACAGGTAGTTTCAATTACATAAATGTTTATTACACGTATTACATTCAATTACATTAAAGGGTCTACAGTACAATTGCCATTAATGTTGTGGATTGCCAGTTCTTGCTTATACTGTTTGTTTGTAAATCCCCTCAGCCACTACTGACTGCATAGACGCTTCCTTAAATATTTAGTTTGAAGGATTAGATTTTGTTTATTATCCATTCAGCGGCAGAAAATGTAATTTCATGGTGTAATTAGATTTGTTTAACATTTCGGATGGTGGCTGCTGTCTTACTAAGACGCTATTTTGACATGAAAATGGTTTAGTAAATCTAAAAGTTACAGTGCAGAAGTGTGTGGATGTTAAAATACTCCAAGGCAACAAACTACACCACACACTGTCCTTACAATCTACACAACCACTTTGTATCTCAGCCTCTGATGTTGTTTTATGGTGCACCTTGCATTGAGTTGTGATTTTTTGTAGGCAAACACAGGTGATGCTTCAATTTATAAGCCCTGGATACTCTACTAGCAGTATCAGACGCAGTCGTGTCAACCATGGCCCTGATACACCTCAGGATATTCATCTCATTCTTGTAAGTATCATGTTTTATTGCAATTTCCTACAAAGAAATACCGGGAAAACATCAATGTAGAGATAATAGAGAAAAGTATAGACGTACTGGATTATACTGAATAGGTTTCTGTTTCTTTGCCATGCAGGTATTTTTTGTTCCCTATACTATGTGGTGATGTTTTGCACATGCAGAAGAGAGACTGGATGGGAAATCCACTGTCAGAATTCAGCGGTAATTTTCAGTGAAGTTTCTATAATTAGTTAAAATAATGCTTTCCATGTAGGCTGCAACCATTAAAGACATTAATGGATATTACAGTGGGTGTCAGGATCTTTCTGTTCAGCTGTTGTTATCTGATACAGTGAGGTGCTTGACAATGCAGAGGAAAAATTATTTTTTAAGAAAAATGTAGTGTACATTTACACACATGGCACAATACAAACATAAAGCTTTCTTTATTCTTTTCTTGCTTTTTTATGCAATTGTTTAGAGGGAGATGTGGAGTGCTTCTCTGAATATATGGAACTGTGGATCCACAGAATGAGAACGGAAGGGTTGAGACTCTGGCTATCAGCAATGCTGAGGATTCAAGGTGAGATAGATGTAAAGCACAAGGGATGTTTCATCCACACGGGTGCTAGAATGATACTACAATCAAATGAGAAGAAACATTCTGCAATAATAACACCTGCCACCAGAACATATGTATCATTAACACGTTACTTGTTTCTCAATCAGAATCCTGCACTTGTTACTTTAGCAGCACAATAGAAACAAAAGTTACTGCAGGGAAACTGGGAAGCTGAAAATGTAATTGGAAAATCTTATTGGAGAGATAGACAACTGTTATTGCGTTATAAAATACTATATAAGAGCCTATCAAGATCCACTGCCTATTATTGCCTATTGTTTAATATGAAGGTTGCAATTTACAGTAGAGCATTTCAAGAAATTTGTTGTTTTTTTTAGTCACTCTTGGGTCTCTGGAGATCTTAAATCATCAGCTGTCAGCATGTGGCTTTGGCCTGCATAAGGATCCTGACAGGAACTACATCTTCAGAGTCATGTACAGTGGGTGCTTTGTCCAACAAGAGGTAAACCCCACTTTAAATCTAATCCAAATCTTTATTGTTATAGCATACATATTTTTATAGTCATAGTTTAGTCTAATTAAAAGTAAAGCATTCCTATGGTGCCCATATGTCCTATTTTCCCAGACATGTCCTCTTTTTTGGAGATTTTTGGACCTTAAAACAGTGTCCGGCCGGGATTTCTAAATTTCAGAAAATGTCATTATGACATGCTTATGGTCTAATACTGCATCGTGTGTGTTCTCATTTGAATTGTAAATGTAAATGTGCACTTATATAGCGCTTTTATCCAAAGCGCTTTACACTGTGTCTCATTCACCCATTCACACAGCAATGGTAGCAGAGCTGCCATGCAAGGTGCTAGCTTGCCATCAGGAGCAACTTGGGGTTCAGTATCTTGCCCAAGGACACTTCAGCATGTGGAGTCACCCGGGCCGGGAACTGAACCGCCAACCCTACGATTAGTGGACAACTCGCTCTACCACCTGCGCCACAGCCGCCCTGCTTTAAAAAATGCCTTGCAATAAATATTGTCGATTATAAAAGCCTTGCAATAAATATTGGCCAAATTCCTGCCTCTCAAAAATTAACCTACTCTTAGCGAACGTGTGTACGGCGTCAAACAATTGCTTGACAATTGCCTATGGCCATATAAGGTCACTTTTAATATCATGTTTAATCACATTGCTTCATATTACCTGGCCATTCAGCTGTGTAAATGATGGTAGAAGGTACAACTATGGCATCTAATATTTTATTTTATTCCATGGACATTCAACAGAATGTAGGAAAAAATGTAAAACATGGGCAGAGTGAAAGCAGGTTTATATATAATATTTATTTATTGTATGTATGTATGTATGTATGTATGTATGTGATAATAGTGTGTCTTTTTCAGTGTATTAATTGTAACACTGTTTTGAACATGATTAACGTCCCGTCCCCACTCTTTTTGGAAAACCACAATATGGTCACCCTAAGCATTCCTCACTACATTAATGTTTAATTACAAAACTTTCATTGTGCCTCTTTTCAGCTTGGCCATTATGTGATTGTATTGAACTTGGTGAAGAGAATAAGCCGCTTTGGAAGCAGGACACATAATTATGTAATGAAATGTCCTGTAGTTCCAGCGCCACCCAACTCAGAGCATGTTCAGTGTGACCCTGATTTCATCCAGGTAGAGCTTTTAAAAAAGTGCTTCTTTGTAAACCTAAGAACAAAACGACATGTGATCGGTCCCTTTTAAACATTTGGTATTTTATATTCAAAGGTTACCAGACAGATCCCAGTGGATAGCTGGAACAGTGAGGTAATGTTGGCTAATTGGTTTGTATGTTTGATAATAATGTGTCTGATATACGGCATAAAACACTTGGGAAGTTACAATAACCTGTTTGCTTAAGTGTGCACACCCTTTTATAATCACATTCAATCTCATGTTCTAAAGTAATTATCATACAGCTGTCATCAATGAAATTATTCTGATTAACCCCAAGTAAAGATCAGCTATTTTTGTAGGATTTTCTTGATATCTTAAAGGTTTCATCTGACTGCTGAAGCCATGGTCTGCAAATAGCTGACAAAGAATAGCTTGAATAGCTAGAGATACCAGTTGATTTTCGTGGAAAACCTTTTAGTGAAATGAATTTCTACTTTCAGCATGACAATGACCCAAAGCATCAAAATCAACAATGGAATGGCTTAACCAAAAGAAGATCAATATTTGTGACTGGCCTAGCCAGAGCCCAGACCTAAATCCAAATTAAAATCTAAGGGGAAGTCCTTACAAATTGATGGATCTAGATTTTTATTATTTTATTTTTTATTTTTTGCAAGAAAGAGTGATGAAAATCAAGTCAAGATGTGCCATGCTGATAGATTCTTACCCAAAACGACTGAGAGGAGTAACAAAATCAAAAGGTGCTTCAACAAAGTATTAGCTTAGGGGTGTGCACGCTTATGCAAATAGGTTATTGTACACCCTAAATTTAAAAAAAAAAAAGATTCTGATTGTTTTTCAATTTGTTTATATACTTTGCAATTTCACACTAAAGGTGGGAAAAGATCTGAGATGATTATCTTAGTTTCCTTCTTTTACTTCACAAAAAAAAAATTTAAATCATTTAACGGGTGTGTGTAGACTGTACATTAATATGAGTTATAAATAGTAGTACTCTCACTTTCACTTAATGTTAATAACACAAAAAATGCAGCTTGTCATGTGCCCAAGAAATTTCAAAAGTTTTCCATACTGAGGACATCCATCTCACTAAGTGATAGGAAACTAACAGGAACAGACTGTTACAAAGCACGGATAATGGAGACTCCTTCCGTTTAATCTGATTTTGTGGAATGTCAATTATACAAAGTTGTATAAATATATGTAAGTTGTTACTGGCCACTCAGAATCAAGAGTTCAACAGCTCTGTGGTATAAAATGAAATAAAGTGTTGGTAAATGTGTTAAAGAAACTTATGAAAACTATATTTTATTTGTCCTTTTAGCTCAGATGGTTTCTTGCTTTGAGAGGGAGTCTAGTCGTGGCGCTGGAAGATGCCAGTCTCATTCAAGTAAATGTTGACATTCAGAAGCCGCTCATTACTGTTCAAGGCAGGAGGAACACAGTTCTCATTCCTGTGCAGGTGAGATAACTTTTACCAGTAATGAGCTCTCAGACCACATGTTGGACACACTATGACATCTTTACAGCTCAGACCCTGGCTGTGTAACACTGGATTATGGATTATGTTATTCAAAATGATTAGTTTACAAGATGTTATCATTTGGCTGTGGAAGGTTTTATAGACAGAACAAAAGCAGAATTGTTGTGGAATACCATGAGAACCTGGGGGGGGGGGGGTTGTTATTTT